GAGGAATTTTGCTGTCATAGCAAAACTGTCTGTTACTGCATAAGAGCGATCAAACTTTGTTATCATATACATATCATTTGATATTAAATCAAACTCTGTTTTGTTAATAAAATCTTGCAGAATAAATCTGTTTGCAAAAATATACAATTTGTTGCTAAAATAAAATAGTTTACTCCTAGCATGTAAGTACTTTGCTATTGCAATAAAGCCAACTTATTATTTTAATAAAGGCATAAGAATTAATCTGTTATGGAAAAATAATTAGCGTATTCAGCAAATTAATTTATTATTCTTGTTTCGCATCGTATAACAAATCTCTTTCTATTTCTTATATAATAATAATAAAAAGTAATTATAATTAATATAAAATATGCTACGCTAATGAACTTACTTTTTCCATGCATAAATTTTTAATTATCATACCTGCATATCCCCAGCATTTGGTATGTTATTGAAGACTGCCCAGAAATTTTGCACAGTATTTACAGTATAGATTTTCTGCAGGTTGGCTTTGTATTCTTCAGCGGTTGTACCAGGGATAGCTCTGTTAATTTAATAATTATTTAGGGTAAGTATATAGTATTATACAAACAGTTGCAATCATCTTGAAAATAACATATGTTATTCTTTAAAATTAGTAACATATGTTTATGGTAACAAGTAATTTGGATCTGGTAATGCTTTAATACACGAATCTCGAATAATTCAATAATTTAATGACAGATAGAAAAAACCTCCATTAAAGCAAAAATATCAAATTAAATAAACTATGCTAATATATTTTTTTAACAAACTTAAAATTTTAAAATAATTGTTAAGTTAAAGATAGAGAATATTAAGTCAAGAAAAAAATGTCAAATGTAAAGTTTATCTTAATCTAGTATTACTCCAGTATTGCTTTTACGAAAATAATAATTTCTCTAATTTTCGCAAACAAGAATCAAAAAGAAAAGAAAGAATATTTTATTTCACACAATATTACTGTATTATCTTTTCATTAATTAATCTTATCTTTGGAATATCGCAGATGATCCTTTATATAATTGAATACGTTAATAATTTAGTTGCCTGTGTTGTAGAATAATAGCAATACTTATATGTATGATTATTCATTATTAAGATATATATATATATATATGAATATGTAAAGAAATTTTTTTTTTAGGCGATTTAATGAGACGATTATGAAGACAAAAGCGTGACGTGTTTGTAAAAATGTAACTAATTATCGCGCATTTACATACAATACGCATAATACGCAAAATTTATTGCATTTATAAAAGCGAGATCAAAGACGGCGATCTTATCGATATCGAAATAATTATTTGACAGAATCTTATCACGCGGAATATTTGCGACGTGACGTTTGACAACAGAGAGATAAAAATCGAGATGTATATATTTATGCATGCATCGACGAAGCATTGCGCAGCGAGATGAGGGTTATACGAGAAAAATAATTATGTTCTCTCTTACTTGTCGAGCCAGAAGGTCCATGAAGTCTGCAACGGAATGCCGGAGCCCTCCTGCCTCTCGATCGTGCTGACGGTCTCGTCGGATAAGACCGGTGTCTTCAACAGGTCCGCCGAAAGAGAGGTGCTCTCCTTCGTCTCGCATTCCGCCGCGGCCATGTTTGAAACGACGATGCAGCCGCGCTATAACGTCAAAATCATGTGATCGTCGCCGCCACTGTCGGCTGTCACCGTCGACGCTTCGTCGCCGATTGTCGTTGATCCGCGCGAGAACTGATGACGTTCGTCGGGTGAAAAAGAAGTAAAGAGCGACTGACAAACGTGCAGATAGCCAGAACACACATACAGGGTGTTCTTAAAATATTTATAACTGAAACATTTGATATATACTCGCGTATTCTGCACTTTTATGATGAGATTTTTATCTCAGACGTTCATCGAGCATCTCGTGACGGTTCAAAATATACGTTTTAAAAAAAATATATTGCGCCTTTTTTATTTTCGTTAAATAAATATAGAATGGATATTCTTTTGTTATATGGAACTACACACAAATGTTTCAATAGAATTTTTACTGACTAATAAACATCAATTAAAGATTTTGTGAATTAAAATATATGATTACTTTAAATAATTTTGTTTTGACATATATGAGAAATATATGTTGAGTTTTTTAAGAAAAATCTACACACTTTTAAGAAAAGGAGCGTTTTAAATTTTCTAAATTTATCGATTTTATAAGTAAATTTTTATCAAGAGACTAAAATGAAAAAGAATCTGAGAATAATCGAAAAGTGATTGACATATCGATCGCTTTTACAGAAAAATGCAGTTTACAAAAATATATAATATATTGTAATGTGTGTAAATAATATATACATACTTCCAAAATGTCAGGATATATCGATAATTTTAAATTGTAAAATTCATATTTATATCGAACGATTGAAAACGATCGATAATGTCAAGGATCTAATATTATCTCACTTGATAATATAGAAATCAATATTACGGACATTCGATAAAACAGAAATTTACTTTGGTCATGTCGGTAATAATTTCTTCTGCCCGCCCAAATCAAATTTCAGCATCTATTCTAATATAAAATACAAGGGAAAGTCATTAAGTATATTACAAATGTTTACTGAAAAAAATTCTGTGAAGTCATTAGTCAAGCCACAAATAAATGTGGGATAATAGTAAATGGAATAAAATAATTTTTGATCGTGACAATGGTTGACATAATTCAATTTGATAACAGCTAATCCATGTAGCAAAATTTTTTTCAATAACCATCTGTGACACTGCTTAATGACTTTCCCTTGTATAATGAATAAGTTTTGGTGGAGAAACTTGTTGTATTAATAAATAAAAATAAGTAAAACAGTTATTGCTAGTCGTTCATATATGTATACGTCATTTACGTTAATAAACTGTGTGTCAGGAAGTACACATTTCATGATACAAATTAAAAAAAGTACTACCTGGCTGATATTCATATATCCCTCGAGTTATTATTCGTCATCACGGTGCATTACACGCGCGATTATGCGTGTAATTGCGAGAGCACACGCGATGTGCGTTCTTACGTAAAAGAGTCCTCGTCCTATGTGAGCAAGTCCTTTTAACAAAGACTACATGCCGATATCAGTAATACAATAATAGTCGTTAATAACAGAAATAAGTCAGTATATATGTATGTGTTTAACGTGCTTGGGAGTAAATGTACTATATGATTTTTATAATAGCTGTAGTAATGTGAGAGACACGTTTATATATATGTCATATACATCCATACAGAATGTCCTCAAACAGATTGAATTATACGATGAATGCGAAAAATTCTTTATTTTTAGCTCAAATCCACATTAGTCAAGCCACAAATAAATGTGGGATAATAGTAAATGGAATAAAATAATTTTTGATCGTGACAATGGTTGACATAATTCAATTTGATAACAGCTAATCCATGTAGCAAAATTTTTTTCAATAACCATCTGTGACACTGCTTAATGACTTTCCCTTGTATAATGAATAAGTTTTGGTGGAGAAACTTGTTGTATTAATAAATAAAAATAAGTAAAACAGTTATTGCTAGTCGTTCATATATGTATACGTCATTTACGTTAATAAACTGTGTGTCAGGAAGTACACATTTCATGATACAAATTAAAAAAAGTACTACCTGGCTGATATTCATATATCCCTCGAGTTATTATTCGTCATCACGGTGCATTACACGCGCGATTATGCGTGTAATTGCGAGAGCACACGCGATGTGCGTTCTTACGTAAAAGAGTCCTCGTCCTATGTGAGCAAGTCCTTTTAACAAAGACTACATGCCGATATCAGTAATACAATAATAGTCGTTAATAACAGAAATAAGTCAGTATATATGTATGTGTTTAACGTGCTTGGGAGTAAATGTACTATATGATTTTTATAATAGCTGTAGTAATGTGAGAGACACGTTTATATATATGTCATATACATCCATACAGAATGTCCTCAAACAGATTGAATTATACGATGAATGCGAAAAATTCTTTATTTTTAGCTCAAATCCAAAAAGCAATCAGTGCCTTGGTATTTTCTTTAAAAAAGATTATCTCGAATTTCTTTTGTAAAGAATGTTAACTCACCAATTATTGTTCCTTATTGATTAATTAATTAGCAATTATATATCTCTAATTCCTGAATAATTCAAGATTGGAAATAATAAATTTTTTGCAAAACAAAATTTTCTTCAAGCTTTAGTAAAAATAAATAAAGAAATTATATTTTCTTCAGTTGACACACTAATAAATTTTATTTTAATAAAACTTTCTAAATTTTAAATTTAACTATAAAAATATTTAACACTCGAATTTTTTAAAATTAAAGATGTATAAATTTTTTAAAGCCAAAAATTTAATTTTTATTAAAGAAATTTACAATTTAATAAAACTAAAAAGATGCACATGTCAAAGTTTGATTGGAGCAAAAGGTAATAAAAATATTCAAGTAAGAGAACAAGTTTTAACACAAAAGCCTGTTGAAGTATTCATGACATGCTCATCTTTGTTTAAAAACTTCGGACATTAATGGATTAATATTTTCTCCGGAGAAAATTTGATTTTAAAGTCTTCGAAGAATTTGTTATTAGTACTGCCTGACGCGAATGCTAGATTGACTTCTATCGATCATCAAGATATTGTACGTTCCTTTTTCTTCGTTCTTACCTATCTGAAATTTGTAATATTTATAAAGTAAACAATAAAATTATATTATAAAAACGTGCAGAAAGAGAATATAATTTTAGAGTTTATTTGTATTTTGCAACTATATTTTCTCTCTTCCTCAATCGCATTATTATTAACATATGTTTTTATAAAATAAAAATTTACAGGCATAATAAGATCAAACTTTAATTTAACAATTCATTCTGTGACATGTAGGAAAATCCAACTTGTATGCGTGTGACTAAACGTCAAATATATAGGAAAGCCCGACTTGACACGACGTCTGTCGTGTGATCAGCTTTCAGGCGAGCATTCAGATTTAAACCCGTTCATTCCGGGACACCTTGTGTATGCGTGTATACCCACGCATATGTCTCAAATAGTATCTTCGAGCTCGGGATCGACGGTACTCGATGATATTCGTAGTCGGGATACGACGGTGAGCGGCGATCTCTCGGTTTGTGTTGTCTCCTCATTTGTATATTTTATTCCGAAATGTCCGAGAGTGTCATTGCGAACAGACACCGTTTCAACTGTCGTCGCTTCGCGAACCGTGACACGATTCATTCGACGCGCTCGCGAAAACGCTCGTGCTAAATTTATCTCTCGGTGTCGAAGTCGCGATGCATTCGCACTGCAGCTTCGAATCATAGTAAGCGTGCATATGTCGTGTGCGGTTTCGTGTCACGCTAAGACTACGAGTTCCTCGCGTATTACATGAGCATTTTGTCGCTTTGCCATTTAATTCTTTAACGAACTGATATACTTGCCAAATCGACCATCGCGTATAAGAGATTTGACAATATCTACCTAGATAAACAATGATTGACAATCTAATAATTATCTGTCAAATCGAATAATAAAAAAAATTTCAAAAATACAGTGGAAACTGTCATCTTAATCACTTTTCGGCAGAATTAGTTAGCAATTTTGCTTAAAAAAAAACTTAGAGACTCAATCTATCTTAAATAAAGGTCAAAAGTTCATACATATATATTAGATTTGTCTGACAATGAGCGCGAAGTGTATAACGCGTAGAAGCGATAATGAGAAATACAGAACAATTCAAAACATACTGTATTTTATTGTAATTAAAAACTATTATATAAGTATTACGAGAGTAAGTGTTTCATTTTCTGTTTATATAAATAGTTTATAATTTTTATCTATATCTGAATTTGATAAATGAATCTTTGATCGATTTATTATTTTCTTGTCTTATGGATTTTGCTCAGACTCTATCTTTATTTTCATGCTCGTTAATTTTGATAAATAATTTAATCAGCAGTTGACCAAAAACATCAGGAGTATTCGATACATAAATTTTTAGTGATTATCATATTTATCAATATTGCATCCTAAAAAATGCAAATTGAGATTTCTCCGAAAGAGCAGAATATTTTAGGGACACAGCGTATTGAAAAAAATTTCTCTATCACGTAGAGTTCTCCTCTATATATATCTATGTTCGTATAACAATTGTTTTCACCAGGATATTTATGTACAGCATGTTGTCGCATTGTTATGTATATTTCTCGCGTGTCGTTTTACGTTTTTTCCGGTCGTCTCGCAATTGAACGTCTATACATTTGTATTCCACTTTCCAATTCCATTCGATTCCCGCGAAGGTCAATTTTACTAGACAAAAAAAAGGCGAATTGAAATTCTACTAAAAGGATCGAGTCCTCGTTACGTGCATTATTGCATTAATTAGCATACCTATTGTTATACATTCAATACAACGCGGAAGGATACAAAAGACAAAATTGTAAATAACATTTAGACATTCGTATTCTTTTCAATCTCATCTAATTTTCGTAAAGATTAATTTTAGTATTATATAAATAAATAAAATAAACTAAATTTTATCGAAAAAATAGAGTAAGTATTTGTTACGTATATTTTTGATAATTTATATATATTTTGCTAAACATTT